TCGGCCCGCTCGTGCTGCTGGGGGTCGGTACTGTACCATGCATCCGAATACTCGTAACATTTTTGTGCTGCCCTGTTTCCCTGTCCATAGCAGATGCGGTGATGCGTTGTTCGGAAGCGATGATGACGACAGCAAGTTGTGCAGCATGACGGCGTGGTCCATTGCTGCAGGCCACTGGTGGTTGGGTAGCCGCATGCCACGTAACAGTTTGCGCATGCTGTTCTGCAAGGTCCTGTTCATTCTTTCTGCTACACCCTGCTGCTGATGGGCGTAGGGAAGGGAGATGAGTCGCTTGATTCCCCTTTCCGCCAGGTACTGCTTGAATCGCTGAGAGGTGTATTCTCCTCCTCCGTCTGACTGGAAGCTTTTCAGCTTCACGCCCGATTCTCTCTCTGCTACTGGTAGCCAGGCAACGAAGGCTGCAAATGCCATGTCGCGGCTAGGGAGGTTTAGGTGCCAGACGTAACGGGTGGCGACGTCGATGAAGGTGATTGTATAGTTGTATATTACTTGTCCTGGTTCCCGATTGTACAGGATGTCGCTATACACCTTCTCGAGTGGTGCGTACGCGGGTGCGCTCGGGTTGTGATGAGACGCAAACGGTCGATATGGTAAGTCACCCTCAGGGCAGGTGAGGCACGTTCCGCGTACTCGTTGAAGTTCTCGTCCGTCGGTCAGTAGAAGTGAGTCCTTGTCGAGTACTCCTGCTCTTATCGTATTGTTTAATACTGTGTTGCTTGGGTGTCCCATCCTTGCGTGCCAGGTGCTTTCGTCGGCGCGATGTCCGGGTGATCGTCGGTACATATCGGAGTTGGAGTAGAAGTTGGCGGTGAAGTTGGCGCTACGATGAACTTCTCGTGGTGCTGGGTGTAGTTGTTGCGCGGGTGTCGGTGGTGTGTCGTCGATGAGGAGCGGTGTCGTTGAAGGACCAGCAATTGGTGTTGACGTTCCTGCTGCTGCCGTTGATGGTTCTGCTACTGCCGATGTTGTCTCTGCTGCTGCCGATGTTGTCTCTGCTGCTGCCGACGTTGTCTCTGCTGCTGCCGATGTTGTCTCTGCTGCTGCTGATGTTGTCTGAATTGTTGCTAACGCCCTTGTTCTTTCTGCTTCAGGGATGGTGTGTGAATACCAGAAGCCTTCTGGACTGAAGTCTGGATCAAGGTCTGGAGGGTGTGTCCTGTCGGTGAAGTTAACGATGGCGTCGCTGTCGGCGGTGCCAAGGTCAGGAACGAAGTCAAGAACGAAGACGTTGTTCTTGAGGACCGCCTTGCCGATGTAGAGTCCTCCTCTCCCGTGATACAGCTTGAATTCTTGGGTGGTGCTGTCTGCTTCGAGGTGAATCCCCTTCGCCATTAGCTGACTGACGCTCAGTAAGTTGTAGCCGAGTCCCTCCGCGATTAGTACTTTTGACATCTGCAGTACAACGTTTGTTTCCCTTGACTGAAGTTGAACAACACCTTGTCGTCGTGTTCGCAGGTTCTGATTGTTGGCGACTGTAATGACAACTTCGCGTTGAAGTTGGTGTTCTCGTTGAACGAAGCGTCCCGAGGAGCACATGTGCTGTCCGCAGCAACTGTCCAAGAACCATGTGTCTCTTCCGGATGGTTCGCTTTGGGCGATGGCGGCGTATGTCGGGTTCGGCTGAAGTGACTCGCGGCGGGGTGTGGTTTCGTCGAGTTGCTCTTCCGGTGAGTAGTGTGGCGGTGACTCGGTGATGCAGGAGTCACTCAGCTTTGCCATGCAGTTGACGATGTTTCTTGCTCCTTGTGCAGGTTGTCCTGTTGAGGTCGTTGAAGCTTGAATCTGAGTCGTGGGATTTGCTTGCGTTGAGGCGATTTGGCTGCTTGAAGGTCGAAGTTGCCGCTGTGGAGTTGTTGACTGTTGACGATTCGGGCAGTGCGTGCGCGGGTGTCCTGAAGTTTTGCAGATGTGGGAGAACGGAGGTACTGGCTTCGGTTGTTGCTGCCGGTTGTTGTTGTTGTTGTAGCGTCGCTGAGTGTGGAACGCGAATTCCGGTGCTGATGTTTTCTTTTTGTGTCGTTCTTCTTGCAGGTCCATGTCTTGCTGCTCGGCGTGGATTTCGGCGCAGAGCGCTGCTTCGGAGATTCTTCCGTGAGCTCGGAGAATGGCCTTTGTGGCGCGCCATTGAGGACAGAGGCCGCCGATGATGACTGTCACGAAGGCGTCTTCAGAGATCGATCCTCCGCATCGAAGGAGCTTGTCGCGCAACTCGCGACATCGGCTGATATACGCCATTCCTTTCTCCCCTGGTTTCATTTCAACCGTTGTCAGTTGCGCCATTAACCGACTTTGGCTTACGCTGTCTGTTGCTTGATACAGGCTCTTCAGGTGGTTGTACGCGAGCTCCGCGGAGTTGCCGTAACCTCGGTAAGACCTTATGTTCTGCTGTTGAGTCGGGGTGATATTCCTCAGTAGGATCGTGTACGCCATCATTGACTGATATGTGTATTGCTGCTTCTCGTACTGTGTGCCGTTTGTTGGGTATGGCAGAGACCCGTCGAAGAACCCGAGTATCTGCGCGCCTTCCATCATCAGCTCGAACTCAAACGACCAGGTGAAGAAGTCCTTTCCATCAAAGGGTCTTGACGTCTGCATCTTCAGAACGTGTGCGAACTGCGACTGAACTTGTAATACGTCCAGTGGTTTTTCTTGTCCAGGTGAGGGCTGTGGGTGTGGCATGAAGCTGATGGACCCGCGCTCGTACGGAGCAAAGGTGGGCTGCTGTTGCTGATTTCCTCGTGCATATGATGAGCCGTCGGGACTCATGGGTGTTGCTCCGTTGTTGTTGCTGTTGTGTGACTGCGCAGGTGCCAATTGATGGTGTTGCTCGTAGAAGGACATGAAGGAGAAGAACTTCTCCATCATGCTCTGGTCGAAGTCTGCAGGTTGATTTGCGGGAGTCTCGGTAGATGTTGCTCTGGGTCTTGTTGCCGTGCCCTCCTCTGTCTGTAGGCCAGAGGCAGGAGGTGGAGTAGGAGTAGTGCCCTGGGAGCCGTTGGAGTTGCTCCTTTCCTTTTGTGTAGCCATGGTGATTGATGTTGTCGGTATAGTAGTTGAATTCCCCCTGATTGCTCTCATACCATGTTGGGCTGAAAAGGCCCTTAGGATCTTTGCAGGGGTGAACTCTGGGTAGAGTTGGTGTAGTAGCGGAAGTGTTAATTAAAGAGTTGTGAACCACCTTGCGCTAGTATGTGAGGGCAAAGTAAGTTGATTAAAACAAAGAGATACAATATTATATAAGAGTACAAGGAATATGGAAGGATACGGTTATAACTGTTTTACTTGTTGCTGTTGCGGTTCGATACAGTGACGACTCGGGCAACTGCTCTGTAGCGAGTCAGTTGTGTGTCCTTGCTGTCGCGCTGTACTTGTCAGGTCAAAGGTCGCTGACCTTTGACTTTCGCGTAACCTCCAGCGGTTACTTCAACCTCCGAGGGTTGACTCGCTGGTGCCTCGATATGCTTTGCTTCGCTTGTGCCTTAGTGTTTCGACACGACAGAAGCGCTTAGGACCGATTGTTTCCAACAATAATTTACGGATCACCCAAGTAGACTTAGTCTTCATTAGTGATGTTATTACGAGTCCGTCGCGGCAGCAATTACGCAGCCACTCGTTCCATTCATTAAGACTCTCTCGTCCCCGTCATACAATGCCGTCCCCCTCCCTCCCGTCACACACGTGACTCCTCACCATCGCTAACGTCCCTATGGTCTCTCTCGTCGCCCTGGTCTCTCTCGTCGCCCTGGTCTCTCTCGTCGCCCTGGTCTCTCTCGTCGCCCTGGTCTCTCTCGTCGCCTTGGTCTCTCTCGTCGCCCTTGTCTCTCTCGTCGCCCTGGTCTCTCTCGTCGTCCTGGTCTCTCTCGTCGCCCTTGTCTCTCTCGTCGCCCTTGTCTCTCTCGTCGCCCTTATCGCTCTCGCCGCTGTGGCCCTCGCATCATAAGATTGTCACGGACGCGAGCAACTCACTCACGCACGTCGTTCATTTCACGCCCGTCAATCACTCGCTCTTTGCTCACTCACGCTGGTTCGCCCTTCCTCCCTTCGTTCGCGCTTCCTCCCTTTGCTCCGCGCTGCTTCCTCCCGTTACTCCCGCTCCTCTCGTCCCTCCCGTCCCTCGTCCCGTCGGCTCCCGCCCGTCCCTCTTCCCGTCGCTCCCGTCCCTCTTGTCCCTCCACACGCTTCCGTCCCTCCCGTGGCCCACGTCGCTCCCGTCGCTCTCTTCCCTTCCCTTCCCTTCCCTACGCACAGTTACCCCCCTTCCCTACGCGCAGTTACCCCCCTTCCCTACGCGCAGTTACCCCCCTTCCCTACGCGCTGTTACCCCCCTTCCCTACGCGCAGGTTCCCCCTTGTCCTTTGCGCAGTTTCCCCCCTTCCCTACGCGCAGTTACCCCCCTTCCCTACGCGCAGTTACCCCCCTTCCCTACGCGCAGGTTCCCCGCTTTCCTTCGAGCAGTTACCCCCCTTCCCTACGCGCAGTTTCCCCCCTTCCCTACGCGCAGGTTCCCCCCTTTCCTTCGAGCAGTTTCCCCCCTTCCCTATGCGCAGGTCCCCCCCTCTCCTTCGAGCAGTTTCCCCTTCATATTGCTCACTCACACCCATCGGTCTCTCACACCCACCCACCGCTCACTCACACCCACTGCTCGCTCCGTTCCCTCTATGCCTCACTTCCCCCTTGAGTCTCCCATTCCCTTCCCACGCCATCCGTCCCTCTTCCCTCACTCTCAGCCCCAAGCCTTCTTTCCTTCACCGCGCCACTCCTCCCGTCCCACTTCCGTGCCTCCCTTCCCTCTCTCTCACTTCCCTTTTTCCCCCATCGGTTCTCCCTCTCACTCCTCCCTTGCATCTCGTCTCCCTTCCTCTCTTCTCCCTCTGAATCTACCCTCTCGTCGCATCAAATGCTGAATTTTCCCTGTCCTTTCTGCCTTTTTCCTCCCTTCCTTCTCCTTTTCTTATCTCCTCCGTTCTGTTCCTGCTCAGTTTCCTCCTTGCCTCTCCTCCTTTTCCTCTCAGCCCCTCTCCTCCTTTCCCTCTCAGCCCCTCTCCTCCTTTCCCTCTCAACCCCTCTCCTCCTTTCCTCTCAACCCCTCTCCTCCTTTCCTTTCAGCCCCTCTCCTCACCTTGCTCATCACACACCCGGCTCACTCACACACCCTGCTCACTCACACACCCTGCTCACTCACACACCCTGCTCACTCACACACCCTGCTCTCGTGAACCTTCGCACAACCCTTTTCAAGTTCAGTATTTTCTAGACTCGGGCTTTAACCATATTGGTGCAACCCTACGGTTTGCACTCGGCTTGTTGTCCGTGTGCGTGCATGCGTGTGTGCATGGAATGGAATGAGGGCATGGGATAATATACATTTCATGCTTAAATTTGTGTGTGCATGATGGGTCATAATGTCGAGTGTGTGTGTCGAGTCAATAGCGAATTATCGCTAGTCGCGTGTAACGCGGTCATTTTGTGTGTCCCACGCGGCTTCTATTTTGTCGTGCGCGGTTTCTATTTTGTCGCTTGTCGAACGTTCGGCGTGTCGCAGGTGTGTGCAGCAGACCCATCAAGAACTCAAGGATGAGTTCGTGATGAAGAACCCGAGCCCTGGTGTCAACATTCAAGTGATCGCGAAGCCCGCGAAAAGGGTACACCTCAAGATATTGAAGATAGTCACATTACTTTGTGTAGTGTAACATTTCACTTGGTGTAGGCCCTAGTGAAGGGTAGTTTCGAGACCCTTCGTGGTTGGGGACAGTGTGGCACTGTTCCACATCACTGTACCTCGGGTCTTGAGGTTTGTAGGAGCTGGGAGTCATTCCCAACTCGTAACTCTTGCTGACTCTTCCTATTGTGTCTTCTAAGACTATAGTGGCTGCCATAGTGCCGTTCGTTCAAACCGACGCTGTGTCGTCAATTCTTGATAAAATCGTGCGATCTAAATTGCATTTTGTAGGGAACGTTAAGGCGCTCCAGATCCAAGTTGAATAAAGTCATTTTGAGTTGTGAGCAGATCGCTATGAACGTTTAAATCCGCTGTTACGAAATCCGACTGTGCACTCTATCTTTCGTTTTAGGCGTATTGAAGCCTAGTGTGACTATAACAAGTGGTATCAGAGCCCCTTGGAGCAGCTACGACAATGGCTGGACCTGAGGAAACGGGTGGCAGAGGTGCTGGAGGCAATGGAGAAGCTCAAGCACAAGGCCAAGCCCGTGATTCAGCCGTGGCGCCCATGCAACCTACTCTTGGACCTTCTAGGGATGAACCAAGAGTGTTCGGGCTTGACAAGTTCAACGGCGACAACTTTGCTGAATGGTCCTTCAGAATGGAGAATGTGTTCGACCATTATGACCTGCTGGAGGTGATGGAAGGAACGGAGAAGCGTCCTGAGAACGACCCGGAGAAAAGCCCGTGGGTGCGGAAGAGCGCACAAGGCTATCTCCTACTTGGGCAAGTGTTGGGGAGCAGTCAAATCCGTCACATCAAGCCTTTCCAGCGTAATCCAGAGAAGGGACCAAAGGCATGGGCTGCTCTCAAGGGTGTACACACTCCTGCAATAGCGGCGGTAGCTGTGGTGTTGGAACGGCAAATGGCGACGCTACGAATTGAGGAAGATGAACCCGTGGAAGACGGGGTGCAGAAATTCTTCGACTTGTTGACGCGGCTTGAGGGAGCTGATTTGAACTACAGTGAGCTCCAGAAGAAGACCAAGTTGCTGGCCCTACTCCCTGAGTCGTGGTCCTCGCTCATCATCAACTTGAATCGCGACTTGCCCCGCCTCTCGCTTGAAGACGTGAAGCGAGCGATCCTACAAGAGGATTTCCGCCGCCGTGAGTTGGCGAGTGTGGATGGCGCTGGGGCAGCGAGCGTCGGCCGTGGATATGGCCGAGGAAGAGGCAGAGGACGAGGGGGAGGAAGGTTTGGAGGTAGCAACTTCGGTGGAGGCCGTGGAAGTGGCGGTTACGACAGCGACGATAAGTGCTACGGTCGCGGTCGCTGGCGATTTGACGGTGAATGTCATTATTGCCACAAGACCGGACACATGTGGCGCGATTGCTACAAGCTCTCAGATGGATGGACCCCTGTTCAAGGCCAAGAGGGTAGAGGAGCAGGAGGAGGGAGAGGACGAGGCCGTGGAGGCCGTGGCGGTCGCGGTGGCGGTGCTGCAAACATGAAGAGCGGAGACAACAACAAGGACCCGAGCGACGATCGGTACCCGTGTCTGTTCTACTTCGTGTCGACGCAAGTACCGGCTGGTCCAGAGAAGGATGAAGGCTTTGAGGAGCCAGCAGCTGTGGGGAAGGTGACCCTACACCCCCTGGACTTTTGGGTGATCGATAGTGGCGCTACCTATAGCATGACACCTCGCCCCGACTTGCTCACCGAACTCGAGCCGTCACCGGTGAAGCACGTCACATCGGCTTTGGGGCAGCGAGCGGAGGTGAAAGGCATGGGCAAGGCCATGTTCAAGGGTGCTGATGGGAAGATGGTGGGCCTCAAGAACGTGCTTTGGGTGCCCAGCCTTGCTGCGAACCTGACTTCCGTGCGGCGATTGGCAAAGGCCAGCATGGGCACGAACTCGAAGGGAGCCAAGACCTACACCGCGAGGCTTGGAGAGCGGATCCTTTGGGACCTTCACGAGAATAGGGACGTTTACAACAAGATGTGGCAGGTCCCTATGGTCCCCATGCCTAAGGAGAGGCAAGTGGCAGCAAGCGTCAGCACCAAGGGTGAAGCGGTCGGTAGCGGCGGTGGCGCGAACGGTCGCGTTAAGGAGAATGAGTCCAACAAGTGGAATCTTGGAGGGACCAGCAAGAAGAGTGAACCTGAGGAGAGTGATGCAGCAGCCAAGGAGTACCACAAGGGTGAGGAGAACCCCGAGGCAGTAGCGGAGGAGGACTACGGAGAGAGTATGTGGGGCGCTATTGCGAGCGCGGCATTCTCCAATCCAACTTTGGCTACGGGGGAGTGTGATTGGCTTACTTTGCATCGGCGCATGGGGCATGTGGCCCTGCCCATCTTGCAGCAGCTAGTGAAGAACCAGATGGTTTCTGGCATACGTATGAAGGGGGAGCCCGATGAGGTACTTGGCTGCCCGACATGCATTCAAGCCAAGTTCACCCGGTTTCCGTTCTCTAGTTCGGAGGCGACGGCTAAGGCACCGCTTGATGAGGTGGTGATGGACGTGGTGGGCCCCCTGAAGCTTGGAGCTGCTGGAGCTGAGTATTTCCTCATTATTATGGACGTCTACACCCGCATGACTTGGGTGTACGTGCTGGCCAAGAAGAGCGACATAGCTGAAACATTGAAGACGGATTGGTTCCCGATGGTGGAGCGGCAACAAGACCGCCTAGTGAAGTCGATCCGCACCGATCGAGGGGGAGAGTTCCTGAGCAAGGAGTTTGGGCTGTGGCTGAAGAAGAATGGTATTCGGCACTCCCTCACCATGCCATACTCCCCTGAAATGAACGGCATCGCCGAGCGAGCGAACCGGACGATCACGGAGGCGGCACGCGGGTTGCTCATTGAAGCCGGGCTACCCGACTATTTCTGGCCTGATGCGGTGCGGAGCGCGTGTGTGGCCAAGAACAGAGTTTTGACTCATGTGGGAGCAGACAAATGGGTGCCCTATGTGGAGTGGCTTGGAAGGAAGCCAAAGGTGGATATGCTTCGGGTGTTCGGGTGCATGTGCATGGCGCTCGTGCCTAAGCACCTTCGGAACAACAAGCTTGGTGCCAAGGCGGTGTGGGCCGTGCACTTGGGCATGGCTCAAAACAGCAAGGGATGGCTTCTTTGGGACCCATTCACCAAGAAGTTCTTGGTGAGCAGGGACTGCAAGTTCATGGAGAACTTCATGTACAAGGATTGGAAGGCGGAGAATGAGGCGAAGATAGGCGTGCGGTTTGGGGAGGTGAAGAGTTCCGGCCTGGAGCATGTGGAGCTGCCTCTGGAGCTGAGCAGCGGCAGCACCACCACAAGGCAATCCTCCCTTGTGAATGGGGGAGAGGAGGCCAATGATGCAGAGGAAGAAGAGGAGGAGGTGCAGCAAGTGAGCGAGCGTGCACCGACACTTCCTTCCCGCACTACGAGCGCTCCACGGATCCGTGCTACACCGCAGCAACGCCAAGGCCTTCAAGTCCCTGCAGCTGAGGAGGAAGGAAGGGGGAAGAGGAGAGTTCAACCCCCTAGTAGGCTGACCTATGAAGCGCCGGGAAAGCAGGGCAAGACAGCTAAGGCCGGAGCGGCAATGATGGTCGGAGACGACGAGGAGAGTGACTATGAGGAGTGTGCCTTCGCGTTCTTCTCTCCGGTGGAGATGCCGGGAGAGCCAGCAACTCTCAAGGAAGCCTTGGAGAGTAGTGATGCTGAGGAGTGGAAGAAGGCCATGGAGAGTGAGCTGAAGAGCATCGAGGAGAATGACACGTTTGAATTGGTGGAGCTACCGGAGGGGCGTAAGGCGATTACGTCCAAGTGGCTCTTCAAGATCAAGTCGGACGCCGATGGCATGATCGAGCGCTACAAGTCGAGACTTGTGGCTAAGGGGTACCAGCAGAAGGAGAAGGTGGACTTCAAGGAGCTGTTTGCCCCCGTGGTGAAGCTGACAATGTTGCGGACCCTACTTGCGGTAGCCGCCATCAAAGGATGGGTGGTGAAGCAGATGGACATTGTAACGGCATTCCTCTACGGCATTCTAGAGGAAGAGATCTTCATGGCGCAGCCAGAGGGGTTTGATGATGGTAGTGGCAGAGTGTGGAAGCTGAAGAAGGCCCTCTATGGGCTGAAGCAGGCCCCTAGGCAATGGTACATGAAGCTGCGCGAGATTGGCTTCACTCCCTCAACGGCCGATCACTCCTTGTTCATGCTTGGCGAGGGGGAGCAGAGGAGCTTCATGGTGGTGTACGTGGACGGCATCCTGATCTTCTCACCCTCCTCTAACCTTGTAAAGGAGGTGATGCTGAAGCTTCAAGACAAGTTCAAGTGTAAGTCCCTTGGTGACGTGAACTTCTACCTTGGGCTCCACATCGAACGAGACGTGGAGAAGCGAAGCATGCGAGTGCACCAACGGAAGTACCTGGAGGCGTTGGCTGCCAACTTTGGCCAGAGTGAAGGTCATGTGGCTACTCCCTTTCCCTCTGGGTTCAAGTGTGTGAAGGGGCCAGAGGAGGAGAGCGTTGGAGAAGAGGAGATGCGCCGTTTTCACTCGTTGGTGGGCAGCCTCATGTATGTGGCGGTGAACACTCGGCCGGACGTTGCCTTTG